AACAGCTATGTTCTCTGTGATTTACTATCTTCAGTTTGAAGTTTTTTAATGAGATGTGGACATAAATATGAGGTCAAGAACACCAGAAGAATGCACACACACTTTAGCAGGAATAGCTTCATTCACAGTAAGTTGTTTGTCTCTACTCTTTGACGATATTGAAAATGGCTCACTTTACCCTCTACTTTTTGACGATATTTGTCTTTAATGTTTTTCTTTCTACAAGATGTATTTTAAGTTGAAATTTCGGAGATGAAATCAAGAGGTATCCTCTACTGCATCCGTCTAAACGGTTGAAACCGTGGCTGGATTTTGTTGTTGTGTTCATCCGGTGAGGTTTAAACTAGGCAAGTAGATGCCACTGAGGGGAAAACCACGTCAAATCTTCGATTTTTGCAAGCATTAAAACCCACAAGCCCCACAATGCCAAGAATTTTCCATCAAACATAGACATAAAAGCACCAAACCAAAAGATACAAAGCAAGATTCAGTACAAATCAATCTAACCTGAGCTGCAGATCAAGAGCCCGTCTGTAACAGCAGATGAGCTGGTGATACTACGCCTTGCCCTGACGATGAAGGATGAGAGGTTCAGAGAGGCAGCAAGGCAGGTATAATGCCTCTCGGTCTTGAAATCTCAATCAGATCCTGTCAGTTTGGTCGCAATTTCTGAGAATCAGTCACCGACGACTTGACGCGCAGTCTACACGGCTAAGCGGTTGCAGTGCCATTGTCGTCCAGTGGCCAAGTTGGCGCGTATAAAGACATGAGTCCACTGTGGATGTTTCCTTCCATGAAATTTCTGGTTTTTATGATTTATATGTGCAGCGTCCGAGCTTTTCTAAGCACATCCTGTGCGTTATAACGGGTCAAACCTATATAATTAAAGATGGGCATGCTTTAACGTATGATACTCATATAGTGTACTCCCTCCGTTTCACAATGTAAGTCATTTTAGCATTTTCTACTCTCATAATGAATATGAATTCATTAACATCAATATAAACGTGAAAAATGCTAGAATGACTTACATTGTGAAACGGAGGAAGTATATGCTACGAAAAAGAAGAGAGGATGGAAGATGATTGAAGAAGGAGATGGAAAGAAGAGGATTCCACTTTTACAGTAGTATAGTTAGAGGCACGTAAAAGTTGAAAGAATTATTGTGCAGTAAGAGAGAAGATATGGAAACACTTAAAAAGGGCGTCAATAATTCATATCGAAATGAAAATAAGCTAATGGAGAGGACGGTAAGTAGGTCATGACATATTTTTTTCTATAGTCCACTACGCAAATTAGGATATCAAAATTTCTATAATTGTGTCGGCACATTTTTGTCTCAGTCAATTTTTTACCCGTCGGATTGAAGTTGATGTCCCTGTGCACCATGCTTGGCTGTTTCATATTGTAAAATCAAGGAGAATAGCCCACTTGATCCCTAAAGTTTCGCTTTAAGGTTAATATTGTCTTTGATATTTTATTTTGTTCAATCAGATCCTTGAACTTTATCATATGGTCCAATATGAACCATAGGTCTACTAGAAACGCCATGTAGATATGCCATGTCATCATCTTATTAAAAATGGATGGTGAAATGTATAATTTCTCCATTATGTGTGATACGAAATATTATAACTAATTTTACATGATTATATAATTTAATCTAATCCTAGGAATTGATATATACACAAAATTGATTATGTTGCATGTATTGGTAGACAAATCGATATATTTGAGTATTTGCAAATGTAAGTGTGTGTGAATTTTTCCTTTTTCCCTCTTATGTTGTATGTAAGGGTATATTAAGTATTTCATGATAGATTTGTATAAGATGATGAGATGAGATGACATGCCTACGTGGTCTTTCTGATGGGTCCAAGGACCATAGTAGACTCAAAGATAAGACTCCGAGAACTAATTCGAGCAAAATAAAAAATCAAGAACTATATTGACCACGAAAGTTTAAGGACCAAATAGGCTATACTCCCTAAAATCAACCAAATAAGGAGCCATTAGTTGTCGGTTTCTCGATTACACGTCGTCAGTTTCTTTTTCCTTTCTTATTTGGCAAAATACGCGGTTGCTAATTTGTATCGACTCTAGACTGGCCTGAGCAGTGGGCCGGATTTCACTTGGGGCCGCACCGTAGAAGGCCCAGGCCCAGCAAGCGCTCGCCGGCGACGAGCACGGACGATCATTGACGCCGCTCTCCAAGGGCGGCGAGCGGCGAGCGTTTTCTAGGGGTCTCCGCCTCTCCGCCGCCCGCCGCCGGCCGCCGGCGCATCAGATCCGCCGCCTTGGTAACTCCCGAGGTCGCCGGCGGCCCGTGAGGTCGGCCGTCCACCGCTTCTTTCCAGATTCGGCAGGGTTATTTGAGGTAACTCCTGGATTCAATTGCCCCCGCGATTTAGTTGGTGTTTGCTTCAATCGGATTGATTGCTTGCTTGGATTTAATGATAACATCAGAATTTGTTTACAATTTTGTGAATGGCATTCTTCTTCGCATGTTCATGTGGTTAGAAACTTTAGGATTTATGCCCTAAAAGTATTGCAGTACAAAAGAGAGTTCACAGTTCGGATGGTGTACTGCAGCACTGAATTTGTGGTACCATGCCATGTCACACTGAGGAAGTGAGGATTGCTCACTGCTTAGGCTGTTTCAGTTAAATTCTGCTACATATGATTTATCAAAGGATTTACTTATTGCCTTTAGGATTTCATCTAAATTTTATTTGTCAAAGCACATTTTTGCCCGCACCGTTTTTTATTTTGTGTGTTTAGCTCATTTAGACCAGTGTATGTTTGAAATGCTACGAGGATAAACCTATTTTCTCTCTCTCTATGATTTGAAATTACAATCTTACTTTCATAGAGAGGAGTTTATTGTCGCTACTTTGCAACAAACAATATATAAAGAAATGCTACTAGATCACTGTGTAATATACATCCTTATCAAAAAGAGAAGAAAGGATCATTCTACATAATTAAACACCACACTACCCAAAGTGGAGAACACATTGACTTCACTGTTCACAAATGCAGTTCAATAGCATAATAGTTCTTACAAGAAAGCCAATATCTGAAACAGCCAAACAACAGACCTAACTCCTGGGCCTCCTAGCCAAAGAGAGCCAACATTTCAGGACTTACTGACAAACATATCAGGCATGATGAAAATGTAAATATGCTGTTACTGATAACAACAAAACGAAAGACTTGTTGGAAAGGACTGGACGAAATGCAGATGCATCAAACAAGTCTTGACTGAAGGAACATGTAAGTTGTAACATCCCACTCCTAGACACGCAGGTCCGGAACATGCTGCATCTTCTGGTGCATTTCTCCATCAGTCCAGTGAGATTTGAAGTATTTGTGCAGATTGAGAAGCCAGAGTTTCTTCAGAGAGCAAAGGGTCTCAATGCCCTGAGGAACTCTCTCTAGCTCTGGCAGCGACACGATATATAAACCTTCAATGACTGGAAGTGCACCACCAGCGACCACCAGCTGGTTCACATCTGGCATGTGCTTCAAGACCATTGTCTTCAGGTTGGGAAAAGACCCTGCAGAAAGGGTTAAAGTTTTTGCACTATTCATGTTATTAAGTCTCAGGTACGTGAGGCTTGGAACATGTGGCGCGAGTACCCCCAGTGGATCTTCTCTAAGTTGGCACCAGCTTAGGATCTTCACCTCTCATCTTGGCAGAAAATCTTTAACTTGAAGGAAGCTGGAGTCCAACTACATCTCAGTAGTGCATATCATCCTCAATCAGATGGTCAATCTGAGCGTGTGAATCAGTGGCTGAAAACCTATTTGCGATGTCTAACAGTTACAAAACCAAAGAAATAGCATTCTCTACCTTGATCAGGTTGAGTGCTGGTATAATACTACTTTTCATACATCTTTGAACATATCTACTTATCAAGCTCTTTATGGTCAAAAACCACCAATGGTGGGTGAAGCACTCATACCAGCCAATTTTGTTGGAAGGCTTCAGAAACAGAGCGCAAGCAAGAGCTGCATTAATTGATTCAGTAAAGGCCGGTCTAGATAAAGCTCAAGCTTTTACGAAGTATTTTGCAGATGTCAAACGAAGTGAAAGAACATTACAAGTTGGGGACATGGCCTATCTCAAAGTGCAGCCTTATAGACACAATGCATTAGGCCTGCACAGCTCATTTAAACTTCATTCTCGTTACTATGGTCCATTTATAGTGATTGACAAAATTAGCTCGCAGGCTCATAAGTTACTTCTTGCTGAACACTCTCAAATCCATCCCGTCTTCCATGTGAGCCATCTGAAGTGCCATACCGGAGCAAAAGCTATACCAGAACCAGGGTTGCCCTTGATTGATACAAATGGCAATATCCTCACAGTGCCTATTGCTCTGCTAAGAGAGGCGTCTGATACCTCGAAACAACACCCCTGTCATTCAATGGAAGATTCAATGGGAAAATCTTCCACCAGAGGCGGATACATAGGAGGATGCTTTGTTCATCACCAAGGTTTTTCATGCTTTCAAACCATGAAGACATGATACTTAAGGGTGGGTATTGTCAGAAGTCTGAAACTCTGAACTGCTGAAGAAGCATAGGAATTCAGACATGAATAGGAAAGAGCGGAAGATGGACGGCTCAGATGCAACGATCCGATTCACTAATGATCATCGGAGGGTGTGCGTAGCTTTTGAGGTCTGAAACTTATCGCTTAGCACTAATTAAGAGCAAGTTCAATAGTATAGCCCACTACTAGCTTCAATTCACCTATAGTCAATCTAATAGCCAATTCATACAATAGTTGCTTACTATAATATTAATATATGGTCCCACCTGTTATACACACACTGTGTTTTGGAGTCCGTGCTGTAGCTAGCTACAGATCTGTAGCTTGCTAATTAGCCAGCTATAAACATATTTTAATGAGAAAAAAGATGAGAGAGAAGAGCAGCGGGCTACAGATCTGTTGCTGGCTACAGCACGGACTCCAAAACGTAGTGTGTGTATGACAGGTGGGACCATATATTAATATTATAGTAAGCAACTATTGCATGAATTAGCTACTTCCTCCGTTTCACAATTTAAGTCATTCTAGCATTTCCCACATTCATATCAACTATTTCACCTAGCTTGCTCTGGCGACCTCCTAGGTCGCTCGCCCCCGCCGGCGGCCTCTCCGGGCTCCGGCGGCCCCCCCCAGCCTTAGCCTCTCCACACCGCCGCCCCTCCTCTCCCCTAGTTGGCCCAAATGCCAGACTCCCTCAGCCCGGACACCCACCCTCGTCACCGCCATTATCGCCCCTCCCATTCATCACCGTCCTTCTCCACCTCCCCGCCCCTTTCTCCTCCAGATCTGCCGCCCTCCCTAGCCTCCCCTACCCTAGAATGCTTCCCTTCAGCTGGCCCTTCCCATCAATCCCCTCCACAGTTACTCCTCCACGCCAAACCCCCCCAAGATTTGCAAGATCCAGTTGAAGATCCGGCTCCCGTCAGCACTTGCAGCTTGCTTCCCGGGACGGTCTCTGGCGGCCACCCCTCCTCCAGCTCGGCTGCTACAGCATTCATGGCGCCGCGTTCCCCAATTGATCGTTCTTTGGCTGGTTTGGTACATCCAAGTACAAGGCGTCTTTACTCCTCTGTGCTGATGGATCTCCCCATATCCGCTGCTCAGTCTGAGCTCGATCCTCATCGGCCAGCTGCACCACGACCTTCTTCCCCGTCGGTATCAGTGCTGAAGGATATCAAGACTCTCAAGAGTGGCCGACGTCTCGTCCTGTCTTCTTAGAATCCTCCTCCTTCAGCGCAAAATCCTCCGGTCTCGTCTCTGGTCTCTGCTAGTCATCAATTCGCCGAAAGCAACTGGGAAGAAGTCAGAAAGAAGCATTGGTGGCGAAAGTCTCCTTCATTCAATCGAGCCAACAACCAAGAGTGTTCTCAATCCAGAAGAGAAAATTTCCTGAAGCACATGGATGGAAAATGTTTCCGTTGTCTGAGCACCCAGCATCAAGTGTCTGTCTGCACAGAGCCTATTCGATGTTGGTTCTGTCTGAAATCTGGACACTTAGCCTCCTCCTGCCTCAAGCGTTCGGGCTATAAGAGCTCGCCCACTCCACCCGTTCTATCCACAAAAAAATTCCCAGCTCTTGGTCCTCTACGCTTTCCCCCAAAATCCTTCTCAGCTTCTTCGCCCATCCCCATGGACGACCTCACTGCCCGTCCTCTCCTTGACTCGGTGGTCGTCTCAGCCACTGGCGAGATTGAGAGGCGCAGAGAACGTTTCTCTGCTCGCTCCTTAGTTGCCTGGCAAGTTGGGGCTCTGGGTGACAAAGTTGAGCTTAATGTCTTCGCTGACGATGTTCGTTCTGCTTTCCACATTAGAAGAGCTGACATCCAATTCACCAAATTCCACCCCGAAGATTTCTTTGTTACCTGCTCCAACCAAAGTGATCGCGATGCCATCCTCCGCCAACCAAGGCTTGCTACGGCCTCTGGCCGAGTCTTCCTCTTTCGTCCTTGGGATGAAAGTCTCCATGGTGTCCCAGTTCGCTATCGCTACCGTGCTCGCCTCTGTATCGAAGGTGTGCCAATGCATGCCCGTACTGATGAAACGGCGGCAAAGGTGATCGGTCGCAAGTGTTCTATCCACTATGTGGAGGAGTACTCCAGGCGTGGCAATTACAACCGCACATATGACATGTGGGTTTGGACAGATGAGCCGAGAGCCATCCCTCGGGGTGGTTCCTTTGCCATCACGTCTGCTGACAAGGAAGGCCTCCCCACTGACATCCCCCTCCCCGAGCTGGAGCCACTCCGCAATCCTCCTCCTTCTGAGCCAAAGAAGGGCTGGTCCTACGACGTCCTCATTCATGTGGACACCCTCGAAGATCTTCACGCTCGCAAAGCCTGGGCGTACAAGTGGGACTATAAAGTCCAGGACGACGGCATCAACTTCAGAGAGTACCCGCTTCCCTGCAGGGCTGAGCCGGACCCAGCTCGTGGCCCGGATGATGAAGACGAAGATGGAAACGATCCTTCCAGGGGTCGGTATAGAAGCCGCTCCCTCTGGGATCGGCTGAGCGGGCGCTCCCACAGCCGAAGCAGAGATCCGAACCGGCGAGACACCCAGCGACGTGACCAAGAAAGGAGGGGCAGATCGCGGGACAGAGAGCGCTCTGATCACAGATACCGAGGTCATCGTTCCCGCGAGCCAAGCGAGGTGAGACCTCCCCTGCCTGCCCAGACTGATCCTCAGCTCCCTCCCCTAATCCCCTCTTCTGCTGCTGCTTCCCCCTGCAAGTTGTTGTCCCCTCTTCGAAACCTGGGTTCAGATGATGATGCGGCTTCTCCCTTGGTCTGCACTTCTGTCGCAGCCGTTGAAATCCTTCAGCCTGATGAACCACTCTTTTCGCAGGGGCGTGTGGACATCCTCGACATTTTGGAGAGCCATCTCGACCCAATGCTTCATGAAGCAGCCGTGCATCATTCCATCTATTCTCCAGATACTTCCTCCCCTCGTGTCTCTTCCCCTGTTTTTGTGCCTACTTCTACAGGACATGCAGGAGCAGACACACCTTCTGCGTGCAAGGCAATGAAGATTGACAGCTTCATCAACGGCCTTGCAACTCCAGTCCAGCCGCCTCTCCTGCCAGCCCCCGACGTCAATGCACGGAAGCCTTCCCGTGCAAAGGTGAAAATCCCTGCTTTAGTTTCGGCGCAACGACACAGCGAGCGTCTGCTTTGCAAGCGTCGTGCTGGCGCGAAGCTTGAAAACTTTGCCCAAGAAATCCTCTCAAAGAAATTTGGTATCATTGATGAATCTGCTTCTTTTGATGATAACATTAAAAAGTTGTATTTACAGCGGTACAAGAAGCCTCTCTCGCCAGCATCACTGAAGATAATCGCCGACTTGGTTGAAAAGGGAGGGTGCAAGACGATCGGGATGAAGAATTTGAAGAAAAATGCGGCAGTGGCGCCCCTGTGACTGCCTCCGACCGGCTTACAGTTCAAGCGAAGCAGATTTTGTCTCCAATGATTCCACTGCCAAGGCCGATGTCCCCCGAGTGTAGCTGCCATGTCTTTCGATGTACTCTGTTTCGTCTGCTTGTTAGTGATCCTGAAATGTGTATCTGTCACCTATCGGAGCCCCGTTTCGGCTCTGTCTCACCCGGCCTTTTAAAGCATATCCACCTCAATGCTAGCTGTGTTTCTTCCAGTTTACCTGGTTGTGTTTCTGCTATGCGGAGTGTGTTTAGATGCTTTTTAGATTATGTCACAAGATAATGTAGCCCTGTTCAATTGGAATGTGAGAGGTATGAATGCCAAGGCCAAGCAAGACTCTGTCAATTTCTGCATTCAACAACATGCTGCTTCTATTGTTTGTCTTCAAGAAACCAAGATTGCTGTTGTATCTGACCAAATCATTCTAAACTCTCTAGGTCAGCGTTTTGTTCGTCAATATGCAGCTTTGCCAGCTGATGGCACCAAGGGTGGCATAATCCTTGCCTGTGATGAAAACTTCTTCTCCCTCTCTGATGTTCGGCTGGGAAATTACTCAATTTCTGCTACTGTAACCATGCGAGAGGAAAGAGTTCAATGGTCCATCACAGTAGTCTATGGACCACAGATTGAGGCCGACAAAATTGCCTTCCTTGCAAAATTAGAAGATCTTCATCTCGAAATGAAACCTGCTTGGTTTATTGTCGGAGACTTCAATCTCATTTATAAAGCCGCGGATAAAAATAACGACCGTCTAAATAGAAGAATGATGCAACGTTTTAAAGGTCTCATTGATAAATTACAAGTAAAAGAACTGCATCTTCCAGGTCGCCGTTTTACCTGGGTGGGAGACGGATCTAACCCAACTCAAACTAAAATTGATCGTGCTTTTTCAACCTCGGATTGGGACCTGCTTTTCCCCAATTTGTGCCTCTTCCCGCTGTCGTCGACTTGTTCTGATCATGCCCCTATTTTCTTCGTTGGAAATGAAAAGCTTAGCAAATTCCCAAACTTCAAGTTTGAATCTTACTGGTTGCATGTGCCCGGTTTCTTGGACGTGGTGCAAAATTCTTGGCAGAAAACGATTCTTGCCACAAATAAGCTTGCCATTTTTCGTTTAAAGCTCCGTCGTTTAGCTCGTGATCTTAGAAGATGGAGCCGCTACCAAATAGGAGACATCAAGCTGCAACTTGCAATTGCGTCCGAAGTAATTCTTCAACTCGAGATTGCACAGGAATCTAGAATCCTCTCTGTTGATGAACAAAATCTCTTGACCAACCTCAAATCGAAATTCCTCGGACTAGCTGTGTTAAACAAGCTCAAGATTAGACAGAGATCGAGAATGACTTGGCTCAAAGAAGGGGATGTAAATTCGAAATTTTTCCACATTAAGGCAAATTCCAGGAAAAGAAAAAATTTCATTCACACTCTACACACCCCTACAGGTATAGCCATCTCGGCAAAAGACAAAGAGGAAGAATTATACAGGTATTTCAGAGAAAGATTGGGTACAAGTTTCCAAAGGACTTCAAGCCTTAACTGGCGTTTGCTAAACCTCCCCTCCCTTGATCTCTCTGAGCTTGAAGAAGATGTTTCAGAAGAGGAACTAAAAGCCACGATTTTTGCTCTTCCCCCTGAGAAGGCGCCGGGCCCGGACGGTTTCATCGGAGCCCTTTTCAAAGTTGCATGGAATATCATCAAGGAGGACCTGCTGGCAGCGATTTCTTCGTTCTTGAACCATAACACCTCTCAGCTAGCAGAACTTAACTCGGCTTATATTTGCCTCATTCCAAAGAAAGACGATGCCCTTGGCGCAGACCACTTTCGCCCCATTAGTCTCATTCATAGTTTTGCTAAGATCATCGCCAAAATCATGGCAAACAGGCTAGCTCCGCGGTTAAATGATTTGGTTTCTCATAACCAAAGTGCCTTTGTCCGCAAAAGGGCGATCCATGACAACTTCCTTTATGTCCAAAACATGGTAAAGCTTTTCCACATATCGAAAAAGCAATGTCTTTTCTTCAAAATAGACATAGCAAAAGCCTTCGACACAGTAAATTGGCCATATCTTTTGGAGGTTCTCAAGCAATATGGATTTGGAAATCGTTGGCTAAATTGGATTTCCAACCTTTTCGCCTCATCTTCGTCCCAGGTGCTGCTAAACGGCTCCCCAGGCCGACAAATCATTCACACTAGAGGACTCCGGCAGGGCGACCCGCTACCCCGATGCTTTTTATTCTAGCTATGGAACCTTTTCATCAAATTATTAGAGCTGCGGAATCTGCCAACGCCCTAACCCCGCTTGGTATAAGGAATGGCCGCTTCAGATGTTCTCTTTATGCGGATGACGTTGCTTTGTTCGCAATTCCAACCTTGGACGACACGACGGCCCTTTCTCAGATTGTGACCCTCTTTGCGAAAATCTCTGGCCTACACACAAATGTAAACAAAACTGAAATCTTCCCTATCAGCTGCGAAGGAGTCGACCTCCAGCATGTCATTGCTAGTTGGCCAGGACAGATCAAAAACTTCCCATGCCACTATCTTGGTCTCCCACTTCATTTTAGGAAATTGAGGAAAGTCGACTTTCTCCCTTTGATTAATAAGATTGGCTCGAGATTACCTGGCTGGAAAGGGCGTTTTTTCACTTCAGCAGGACGACAAACTCTGGTCTCCTCCGTTCTTAGTGCCATGCCGACTCATCATCTAACTGCCCTTCAAGCTCCGAAATGAGTTTTTAAAAGAATTGACCGTTTCAGGAGATCCTTTCTTTGGAAGGGAGAAGACCCTGATCACTCGAACCCTGGAGACAGTCTGATAAATTGGCAAACTGTTTGTAGACAAAAAAGTTTGGGTGGGGCTGGTCTCTTAGATTTGGAAAGATTTTCGAGAGCTCTTCGCATACGTTGGTTGTGGTTAAAATGGAAAGATGATACCAAACCCTGGGTGGGTATGGATTTGCCCTGTGATGAGATAGATTGGAGACTGTTCCAAGCAGCCACGATCATCTCGGTGGGCAATGGCGCCAAAACAAGTTTCTGGCATGACAATTGGCTGCAAAATCAATGCCTAAAAGATGTGTTTCCAAACTGTTTTAGATTAGCAAAAAGGAAACAGAGATCTGTCCAAGTCGAATTAACTAACAACAAATGGCTGTTTTCGTTCAGGCAATTCACATCAATAGAAGAGCTTCATGATCTCATTCAGCTTGGAGGTTTACTCCAATCAGTCTCGTTCTCCCAATTTCCAGATGACATAAGCTGGAATTGGACAAGTTCGGGGTCGTATACCTCAAAGAGTGCATATCTCGGTCAATTTCAAGGTTCTGTTGTTTACAATGATTTCAACTCCCTCTGGTCGGCTCCGGCGGAACCAAAAATGAGATTTTTCGGTTGGTTGGTGCTCCATCAAAAAACCCTAACCGCACAGAATCTACTCCGAAGACACTAGCCATGCAATTGGATTTGCTGCCTTTGCACTTATGCTTTTGAAGATACAAATCATCTTTTCAATGAATGCCCTTTTATCAGGCGTGTGTGGCAGCTAGTGTGCAGGTTTCAAACTATTGGCGCTGATGGCTCCTCTCTTTTCCCAGATATTTCAACCTGGTGGGCTAATCTTAATTTAGTGGGAAGCAAGAGGCAAAGAACGACGATCAGAGGTATACTTTTGACTGCATGGTGGAATATTTGGCTAGAACGAACAGAAAAATCTTTCAAAACTCAGCTTGTTCAGAACTTGCAGTAGCTCTTCAGATAAAGCAGGACTTAGACCTGCGTAGCTCGGTTTTTAAGCCACCTTGATTTAATATTTTTGTAAAAAGGTGTAATTTCCTATCTCCCCAAACCTGCCATGTAATCTTACCTCTTTGCTGTTTTCATCTATTAAATTTCCGGCAGATCTCCTGCCGTCGTTTTCCTCAAAAAAAATAAAATATTGATGTTAATGAATCTAAATAGATATATATGTCTAGATTCATTAACATCAATATGAATGTGAGAAATGCTAGAATGACTTACATTATAAAACGGAGGGAGTATTGGATTGGTTATAGGTGAATTAGAGCTAGTAGTAGACTATACTATTGAACTTGCTCTAATAGTCTGCTATTGTACCTTCTCTAAATGATTTTCTTTTTCGTGTGAGGGTGTGTGTTTGCAAGAGTAAGTTCCCAACACTCCCCTCTCGTTTTCCGCGTGCACGTTTTTCAATCTGTTAAATGGTGTGTTTTTTGCAAAAAATTTCTATACAAAAGTTGTTAAAAAAAATTATATTGATCCATTTTTTAAAAAAAAATTAGCTAATATTTAATTAATCACGTATTAATGGACCGCTCTATTTTCAGTGTATGGGAGATGGTTGCCAACACTCACCTACCTCATCTCTAGTCGTTGTGGCGGCGGCAAACTCCTTGTAAGCCGGTCGAATCCATCTGTAATGGGGATCGAGAAATATAAACCCTAGTTCTAGTCTCGTTCTTGTCTCGCGGCGCCCTTAAATTTTCTTTAGATCTTTTGCTTTATCTTGTTATAAATTTTGCCTGTAGGTTCCAGGTAGGTAGCCACTCAGCTCAAATCTCTGAATCTCTCAGGAATCCGGGAGAAATTGGCCCTTGCATCCTGACAGAGCCGAAGCAAAGCGGTCGCCGGCGGCGGTCATGGACGACGACCGGCGATGCCCTTCCTTGGGTTGCGACCTCCCGCGCGTCGGAATCGGTAACGCCCGGATTCAGTCATTCAGTTCCCTGCGATTCTGTTGACGGTTGCTCATTCGATTTATTCTGGAAATTCTCAGGTATCGGTTCTAGGTTCCGCGTCCGTTGCGCGGTATATTTGTGTTTCAGTGCTTTCTAGGTGCTCATCCTTCTTGCATGTTCATCTGGTTGCAAATTCGGCACATGAAAAACAAAGTAATGCAGCAATGCATCAGTTCAGGTTGCCACGGCATACAGTGGGTGAGAATTTCTTCGGTTAAACAATAGCAGTAAATTACGACCAAGTCTAAGGACTGCATCATCTGATTTAGATATTTTCTCTAAGATTTGGGAATGCAATCTTGCTCATATAGGCATATACATATGAGTAGCAGAATGCACCCTGAAGACAATAAATTAGTGCTATGGGAATATGGGACTATTCTGCTACACATTCCTCTCAAAATTGTAAAGAAAGGAAAAAATTTATCATATGGAATACTGGCGTATAAAGGTTGAAGGAACTGGGAGGTGAATTACAGTTACATCATTATTAGCAAATGCAGTTCAAAAGTAAAAGGACACGGTTCCTTGTCCTTAGATGAGAATCACTATCTGAAGCACCCAAAACAACAGAACAAATTACAGGTCCCGATGGATAAGAAAGCCAATGTTTCAGGTAGTGCTACCAACAGCTCCATAACTAAGAACTATGAAGAGATAAATGCAGATGCACCAACCAAGATCATTACAGAAGGAAAAAAGAAACAATGCACTCCTACATGAGTAGCTCTGGAACATGCTGCATTTTCTGTTGCATTTCTCTCTCAATCCAGTCAGCTTTGAAGTTCTTGTGCAGATTGAGCAGCCAGAGTTTTTTCAGGGTCCGAAGGGTTTCAATGCCAGGAGGGACACTCTCCACCCCTGATAGAAACACAATATACAAACCTTCAATGACTGGAAGTGCACCATTCATAATTTGTATCTGGTTGACATCAGGCATGTGCTTCAGCACAAGCATCTTCAGGCGTGGGAAGGCCTTTGCATCAAGAACCAATGTTTTTGTACCATGTATATTGTTCAGTCTTAGACAAGTGAGGTTCTCCAAGCGTGAAGAGAGTATCCCTAGCATATCTTCCCCAAGATAGCACCAACTTAATGCTAGATAATTGAGTTGTGTACCATGATAACGAAATATTGGGTAGTCGAGTGTCTGCTTGGCCCATTGCCCTCTGATAATTAACTTGTGGAGTTCTTTGGACTTTGGCCTGAGTTCCTCAAAGCAAAGTGCCTCATTTTCATTCCTTGCAGAGATAAGCAAGCTGGAAAGAAGCTGCATGTTTGACAGGGTAGCAAAAAGCTTTGCACAATCAGTATAACTTATGTTGTCAATCCATACACGTCTTAATTTCAACAATTTACTCAGCTGCTCAGCCAAGTCCTTGCTGGCTTGCATGGTCTCAAGAGTTTGTAGTTCCTCCATATTGGACAGATTTTTGGGTGCTTGCATTCCTACGAAATACTGGAACGTCGACTGTGTTTCATCAGCATATCTATCGGCTATCAGGTGCCGTAGCTTCTTGACCTTAGCGATTCCTTTTGGTAGCTTCTCTATTTTGGTTTGCTTGATGTCTAAAGTGTGGAGATTAGACAGCTTTTCAACTGATTGTGGGAGTGTCTTGACCTTGGTGCTCCGCAAGCCGATGTAACGTAAGTTGAACAAATTCCCTATGGATTCTGGCACTTCAGTGATTTCTGAGTCTTGAAGCTCGAGAACTGTAAGATAGTTTGATTCTGACAAAATTGAGGACAGCATATAAGTGGAGGGTGACATTGCTCTCAATGATACTAGGGTTCGCAGACGTGGAAATTTAAGTTTTAGTACATCATTGTTTTCCCATCCACAAGATGACAGACGGCGAACATCCCTTTCCATTTCTATCATTGTGCCATAATCATTTGAAAAGCCAAATTTCTCCTCTTTTGCTATAGAAAGTGCCAGGTCGCGCACAAGATCATGCATCTTACAGCTACTAGCCCTGCCTAGCTCATCATTTTCCACAACATCCAGCATATTCCTTTGGATTAGTTCCCTAAGATATCTGTCAGCCACCTCCTCTGGTGTGCTATGTTGTTTTCGCACTGCAAAGCCTTCTGCAACCCACAGCCAGATGAGGGTATCTCGTGAAAACAGATGATCTTCAGGGAATAGGCTACAATACAAGAAACAATTTCTAAGATGTCCAGGTAAGTCACGGTAGCTTAGATTTAGAATTGCTCGTATATGATCATTGTTCACTAGCTCGTCTCCAAGTTGCTTGTACATTTCATTCCAAATATAACTCTCTAGTTTCACTGAAGAAAACAAGCCACCAATAGATACGATTGCAAGTGGCAGGCCTTCGCACCTGTCCACTATATTGTGAGCCAACTTCTCAAGATCCTGTGGGCACTTGCTGTGCATGCTGTTATAGAAGGTCTTTTTGCAGAAGAGATCAAATGCATCATTGTGCTCCAATGGTTTGAGTTTGAGACGGTGTGTTGGGTATGCAAGAGTTGCCACATCGTCCTGTCTTGTTGTGATGATTATGCGACTTGTTTGGCAGCTTAGGAACGCATCCTCTATCAGAGTGTATGCTTCCCGGTTCCAAACGTCATCCAATACAACCAGAAATTTTCTATCCTTTAGCCTTTCCTTTATTATATTTTTCAAGTCACGAGGGTCCAAATCTGATAAATTTGTCTGTTCAGGGTACCCAATTGTTGGCGTCGTTTCGACAACACCAATCTTCCTAAGTAATTTCCTCAGTAGATCAACCCCATTATATGTCTGTGACACGACAATCCAAGAAAAAGCATCAAAATTGTTCTTCTCCCGCTCATACTCATACACATTATTGACCAGAGCGGTTTTGCCCAATCCACCCATACCAGATACCGTTATCACTGTGTTACCTTGCTCACTGGAGTACAACCATTCAGTCAGCAGCTTCCTGTTGCCTTCAATCCCCACTAGATAATCTTGTGCCAGGAGGCAGTCTTGGAACTGTTTCCTTTCAATATAAGTAAGCGGGTTAGGAATAAGGTCAGGCTGCTGCAGCCACCGTTCTTTCCGCTTCCCAGCATTTTCAATCTTTTTCTCTATCTGGATAATCTCTTCCGCAATATCACTGAAAACTGTGACATATTTCTTTTTAGTGAATACCTTTTTCATGGAACTTTCTTCTTCCAACATAAGAGCATGGTATGAATATTTGTCCATTACATCCTGAACATGGTGGGCCAGGCCCCGCACCTCTACAATCCAACCCTTGACAACCTCATCGATGGGATGTGTTGTACTCATCTTTTTTATAACATTGTTCATTGTCTCCAGTTCCTTCTTTATTTCATCAACCTTTGTCGGTAGTTCCTTCAGATTTGCAACTTTTTCAGATAGCTTGGCTATAGCAGCTTTGGTGGCTTCCTCCACTAAAACTGAACCAATCTTTGAGACAGCAAGGATTACAGCCTCCATGTCAGCTGAACAAAGGTGAATATACTGTATTACATAATGTAGTAACAAACTAAAGTAAACTAGCACAGCCCAGAGGATCGATTCATGTAATTAGCAACAAGTTTATGAAAAGAAAAACCTATGTTCCAGTCAGTTTTCAGTTCATCATGTTGAGCCTATAGTTTCAGTTCATTCCCTACATGCTTGAGTTTTTTATTTTGATCCCCTCTGTTCCTACTCTGTTGCGTGAGGGTAGTTTCAACAAAAAAAAAATTATAAATTAACTCCTGATAAAACTTTTCTATAATGAACCATAAGCATGAATAGAATGGCACTGCAAGATTTGGCGCTGTGTTCCTTATTTTGTGGGATTTTAGTGGCTGCATCGACCAGGCTGCTTATATGGAGTGCGATTCTATGAACATACAGCCAAATGGCATGTGGCACTGTTCAAAAGGGTCCATTTCTTTAATGTTTTTTTCCTACAGGTCTATAAGTAGAAAATACTAGCTGAAACCCCGCGCATTGCTGCGGGAATTTAGTATGATAAAAATAAAAAAAATAACGTGTAAGATAGCTAGATAATATCAGATTAAGTAAATTAATGTGGTTTATGATAATTTAAATTTAAATAGTATGTAGAATGGTGATTCAAACGTAAAAAGTAAGGTGGTATGACTTTATGGAAGAAGAAAAGTAGGGAGATAGTTTAGACCGTAGATTAATTATTTAAAGGCTAAAAACAATTGATGTGATATGACTTAATTAGAGGAAAAAGGGAGAAAGATAATTTGGACCATAGATTAATCATTTAAGCACTAACTAAGTGAGGATGAACCATATAAGTATAGAGGATATCATAAAATATAATAAAGATATATATTGAAACATTATGTGAATCATGTTGGATGATAATTTCACATATTTGTATTTGAAAAACTCTTAAATTATAAAAACTATAAAGATATAGCATGTTTGCATGATGTTTAAATGTGATGATTGTTAGTGGATGATGATGCGACATCTTTGTATGTTAAGCTTAAAGAGTTAGTGGGGGATAACTTTATATTAAGATAGAATTAGGAAACGGGCTCAATTGTGAAGACTCCACTGAGAACTGTTTAGTTTACAGTATCTGCATCACTTACTGTCACGGATGGTTTTGCGTTTTTATGTGCCATTTATTCACAGTTTTCATTTTCTTTGTTACGCTGCGAGGCCTAGCTACTACGTCCCAGTCTTCCAGGCTTGATGGTCCTTGGCAATCACCTATGCTTTCTTTGGCAGATGACTTATTCTGGTGTACTCAATGCTTTCAGTCTTTTCATCTTTCTACAAGGGAATTGTTTTGCAAGCTGTTCTTTAGAAACTACTTATGTTTCATATTATAAGATGTTTTAGATTTTGAATATATTCATATATGGATTCATGCTTGTGTTTTATATATAACTAGGAAGGTGGCCCACGTATATGCGTGAGCGTTTATATTTGAAAGGTATTCCCTCCATTAAATAATGTAAGCCATAACCACCATTAACTCTAAAAACCAAGAAACAATTATTATCATCTCATTGTTTGAATCATCTTAATAAATTCAGTGCATGCACCCAATAGAATTCGAGATTTTGAGAATGAAAGTGTTAAAAAAATATAATAATTTAGTGGAGAAGAGGTGCTAGTTAATTGCATGCATGCATGCATGCCTTATATTTTGAAACATGTAAGAAAAATAGTTATGCCTTATATTTTGCAATAGAGGAAGTAAGATTATAGTTTGTTCAAAAATTGTCTTATGGATAGGGAACTAAAGATCAAACAATGTCCTTTTAAAATGATTTAGGGATTCTATTTTTTTAGAAAAAATATATCTCAAAAAAGCATTCATCGACTCTTTGAATAGAACATAGATTAAGTTTATACGACTTTTGCATCAAAGTAAATATTAAACTATTGTAACTAATTATCATGCATATCATTTGTACACATACTGACATACCGTGCAAATATGGCTACAAGCAAAAATTGCGAGATCTAAGAGTTGAATCGCCTCGTGAAGGCACATGACAAACAAATTAAGGGTAAATTAGAAGTTGGATTTTTTTTTCTCTATATATAAGTTCAAAAATTTCATATTTTCTCCATAGTTCTGAAGAACTTTAAAGGGTGTTGCTGCACACAAATCACCTACACAATCGCTTTGCTTGGTAGTGCAAAATATCAACATTGTTTGAAGCTAATTTCTTTTGTTTTCACAAGTTTGATGGTTTTATTTGAAACAATATTTGTTTGAAATAAGACCATAATTATATAAATTTAATTAGTATGGATAGTTTACTTATAAATTTTGAAGTGTTTTATAGTGAAACTTATTTCTATCATGTAGTCTGCATATATAAAAAATATAGTTTTGTTCAATAAGTTCAATACAATTTTCATCAGAAAAATTAAAAATATTTTAAAACCATCCATGACTACTTAAAAAATTTTGTTTGTCTATTTTTTAAAAAAAAATTCAAATAAGCACATATTCTCCTTCTTATCGATGTCTTGTCTTTATCATAATCAAAGAAAAACTCCTTGTACAACTGACATATCATGCCATCACTCAATCACATACAGATGTAAGCTGTTTGTCATTATTCTCGGTCCACTTATTACTTGGTTGTATCCTTCACTCACCCATCATCTTAAACAGTCGTAAGACCATATTTTATCTAATTTATCTACTTATTAGTTTATATAAGGGGTAACAACTAGGGGTGAAAACGGTAACGGTAATTACCGGCCGACCGGCGTTCGTTTTCGACTTTCTACCGGCCGAGCCATATGGAAATGGTAATCGACCGAAACAAAAATGGAAATGGTAAAAAATATGGAAATGAAAACGGAAATGGTTTTGCTGTTATACCGATCGTTTCCGTATTTACCGTATTCTCGCGGAAATTACCGTTTCTTATAATATGGTAATTACCGTATTCTAAATATGTCGATATTATAGGACATGTCTATACGTGACCCACAGCTTATAGATTGACTGACTCTTCAATAAAATCTCTAACTTTTGTACATGGCTAAAATAAAGTTAATTTATAATTTATATAGTATAAGCTTGAATTTATGTATATATATATAACATACTTATGTAAAGTTAAATATATGTTTTTATAGTTTAATGTTTCCGTATTTGTTACCGGTTTCCGATCTGTACCGACATGTTTCCGTCCGTATTGTTCCGTTTCTGGTTTTCCGATATTTCCGATATCGTTTTCGTTTCCGACTTTACCGTTTCCGATTTTGTTTCCGAGAAAAATATGGTTACGGAAATGGTTGAGGCTGTTTTTCGATCGTTTCCGACCGTTTTCATCCCTAGTAACAACAACACGTTGCTTCTCCCTCGTGCATAAGACACATGGTCTAATTTTTTTTCGCCAAAACAAGTTCTTAGTTAACACATGTAATGTAATTAGAATATTATCTGTGTAATATATATGTATATGACATAGGGTAATTTTTGTTCTAGCTTTACCCTGTTTATATACATATAAATATAAATTAATTATATATAACTCGCGGTGCTTGACTCTTCTCTCTACATCACATCTTCGATTTGTTTTTATGTTATTAAAAAAACAATAATTATCCATTGATGATTTGATGTCTTCACATTGCAGCGTCGTGATCACCCAAGCTACTTTAGGTACGGTGCCTTGTCATGCGTGCATAAGGCAAATACGCGCACGTGTGTTGTGCTGAGAAAAATAGAGAGGTCTTCCGAGGTTTTTGTTTTCTTAACAAAAGATATATATGGTTGTCCAAAAATAATAGGTTCACCGGTTTAAAAAAAAATGATAGACAAATAAAAATATTTATAATAAGTTAATAATAGATATATGTGTACAAATCATATGAATGTTAGTGATTCTAACAAGGGATGGAGGGGCCAAAACGTTTTATAACGTGAAATAGATGGAGTATTTCACTAAGTCTATTATTTGTAACACCACCTGAATAGAATGGCTTCCATTTTACCTGTCAACTGTTTTCTCACATCGGTAAATGTATGAAACAGTTTGGCATTTATCTTTAGAGTAAAGTTGTCTAATAGTCCCTCCGTTTCATGTTATAAGACATTTTGACTTTGGTCAAAGTCAAACAACTTTAAGTTTGACTAATTTTATAAAAAAAAGTAGTAACATTTTTAACCAAGACAAATATATTATGAAAATTTATTCAAATATAGATTTAATGGAACTATACTGATGTTATAAATATTACTACTTTTTTTTACAGAATTAGTCAAACTTAGAGTAGTTTGACTTTGCCCAAAGTCAAAATGTCTTATACCCTGAAACGGAGAGAGTAAATGCCATTACCGATGGATTCAGAACCTTATATATCTATACCAAGCTGTGTTATGATATTTGGTTTTACTACATACTTCTGCAATGCCAAAAAGTTGTGTTGTATCTAGCATGCATATGGTTTAGCACTGGTGTAGATCTGTTGTATAGGCAGGGTCATGGTTGATTTGTTATGAGATGCACTTGATAATGTAGTGGTAAGGGGTGCGTGGTTTTAATCCCAAGGTCCCATGTTCAATCCCAACACGCTCACAATTTATTCTTATAATAAAAACTAGCATGGTGGCCCACGCAGATTGCGCGGTTAGCATCATTATGTTTTCTCCCATATAATAGCATATATGTTTTCTCATTATATTATTCAAATATATTAAAATGACAACATAATTTTAAATTTTGCAATAACTTTACAAAACTACTAATACGTAATATTCATATTATATTTTATATACGTGTTAGTTATTAATTATTTTTAATATCAAATTTTAGTTATTTGTAAATTATATATATTTCTATATGGACTCTAGACTCGTGTTTTAATATTTCTTTTTTTTAATTCCGAATTTTCTGTAAATTGTATTTCTATATAGACTCTATGCTCTTCTTCCAATATTATTTATTTTTATTTCTGAATTTTTATTATTTCTAATTGTATTTCTATCTGGACTCTAAACTCATCTTTCAATATTCTTTAATTTTTAATTTCGAATTTCAGTTACTTCTAAATTGTATTCCTATAGTGACTTTAAACTCTTCTTCCCATGTTTTTCTTAATTTCAAATTTTAGTTATTTATAAATTGTATTTTTATACTGACTCTAAACTCTACTTTTAATTTTATTATGTTTATTCCAAATTTTAGTTAGTTTTAAATTCCTATATGGACTCTATACTCAACTTCTAATATTCCTTATTTTTTTATTTCGAATTTCTATTTTTTTTTCTTCATTGAATTTCTATATGGACTCTATACTCTACTTCTAATATTCCTTATTTTTAATTCCGAATTTCAGTATATGGACTCTATACTCTACTTCTAATATTCCTTATTTTGAATTCCGAATTTCAGTTATTTCATAATTGGATTTCTATATGGACTCTATACTCTACTTCTAATATTCCTTATTTTTAATTCCGAATTTCAGTTATTTCCTAATTGTATTTCTATATGGACTATATACTCTACTTCTAATATTCCTTATTTTTAATTCCGAATTTCAGTTATTTATTTCCTAATTGTATTTCTATATATGGACTCTAGTCTCATCTTCTAATATTCCTTATTTTTTAATTCCGAATTTCAACTATTTCTAAATTGTATTTCTATATGGACTCTAGTCTCCTCTTCTAAGATTCCATATTTTTTAATTCCGAATTTCAGCTATTTCTAAATTGTATTTCTATATGGACTCTGTTTTTTCTTTTTCCCTAATTAATGTGAGAATTTATAGACCATGAGAGCAAACATGGAGGCTTCTTTTTCTATTCCTTTAATAATATAATAGATGTTTGCCCTTCAAATCTCGTTTATCTGGTTGACTTGTTACTGTTTCTTTATTTGGTCCTAGTTGTTTTTGTCTTCCTTTTGTAATCCATATTAATTCTGTACAGCCGCTATAGTAGCACTGGATCTTTTGTAAAGCAACATTTCAACTATATCGCAAATTGATTGGCCATTAGAAAATTTCGTTGGGCTACTCATCTTTCATGCTTTGTTCTTGGTGAAATGATTGGTAATAGTTTCCACGGGCATTCAATTTTAGCTTAAGATGTCCTTGCAGTAGATGGCCAACAATAAGATAATAAATGATAAAAATACGGGAAACATGTAATTAACACACAGTATTTAAGGTGATGCACTGCAAACAACAGTAATCGCTAAATGTTGCAGTTGAATCAGCACTGAACAAAACAACAACACAAAGGTTCTTTCCCCATCTCTGAACTGAAGAACTGACCGTGGAACTTTTGCACTGTCATATTGGTGATTTTATACGATGATCTAATGCTAGCTCACCTGCTGGAAGATTTGTAGGCCGACTACAAAAGGGAGGTTGGAGAACTTGCGCCCAACTGTTGGTGGTTGGTGTGCCGAACCCTGCAGCATGAAGGAAGAAACGATGAGAACACATGCAAGACAGCTGATCAATTGATCATGGCGTTGGGCAAAGGGTCCAAGACCACACACTTAACCAGGGTTCACAATTCCAACAAAAACCGGTCGAATTCCGTGAAAAAACGAGGTTTTGACAAATTTACAGTAGGAAAGAAAAGAATAACGAATTCAAAAAAAGAAAACACTTTCCTGGGCCGGATTCTATATAATAGGCAAGTTAGTACTTCGCCCAAATAACAGAGGAGAGGGGATGTGGTCCTGGCGTCCTGCATCTGATCGCTCCCAAAAAAAACATCGAGCAGAAGGGTGAGGCGAGGCCGCCGTCTTCCCAGCGGCGTCGCATCTCCTTTGCCCCCCACCGGATCCGGCCGTCCGCCGTCCCCCCCCCCCCCCCACCGGATCCCGCGATCCTCCCCCGAAGCCGTCGTCGGAGAGCCATTTTCCGGCCGGAAAATTCAATGTGAAAACCCTAGATTGGTATGTGCTCCATTTACTTTTGATTTTGTTGGCCACTTATGCTAGCTAGTGGGAATTTCACCAAAGCCGACCGATTTTCGCGAGCTTATCAGTAAACTAAGGAAATTTGTTTTCAAATTTTGATTATGAAATTTATTCGGAATCTACTGCATTCCACCTGATTTTGCGAAAACCGTCGTTCCGCCCGAGCTTGAAACGGAAGGTCATTTTAGAATCGTAAACCCTGCGCTCAACAAACACCACATGCACGTTCTCTACGCATGATTTATGCATATGTAGTTAGAAAGTTGGACCCCACCAGCAAGATTAAATCTCCTCCAAAATTTGTGGATTTTTTCAAATATTTGTGAATTTATTAAAATTCATTTAAATTCAGTCAAAATATGTTAAATTTCAAAATAATTCGGTCAGAAAATGCCGAAATCCACGATTTTTTCAAAATTTCGGCAACCACAAAATTTTGGTGCATACCGAAATTAGAAACACTGCTCAGGGGCGAGATCCTGGGTATGGCAATCTAGCGATCCGATCTCATGATGCTAGGTCCGTTAGCCGGCTGCCTCACTCCGTCGGTCGCATCCGCGCCTCGCTGCCGGCCGCGGCGGCTGCAAATCTGCAACTGCAAAGTAATCCCTCCGTTTCAAAATATTTGACACTTTTGACTTTTTACCACATGTTTGACCGTTCGTCTTATTAAAATAATTTATGAAATATGTAAAACTATATGTGTACATGAAATTATATTTAACAATGAATCAAATGATATGAAAAGAATAAATAATTACTTAAATTTTTTGAATAAGACAAATGGTCAAACACATACTTAAAAAGTCAACGGTGTCAAATATTTTGAAACGGAGGGAGTAACATTTACGCTGATGGTCACTGCTCGTCGGCTGAAGTGCTTATCTGCTGCGTCTGCATGTGAAAGGAGAAGGCGATCAGCAACTACGTACACCAGATACCACCACGTTCCCATCCTTGCTAATTGCCCAAGTTTTGTTGGTTTTCTCTCTCCTGATTTGAGCTCAGAGGTTGCGCTTGGAGCCTTGGACCAAGCTGTGCGCCTCGTGTTGCTGACCTAGAGCAATTCCAACTGACTCTTCAAACCAAAATTTCGTAAACTTAGGAAAAAGAACGTGCTCCAATAGATTTGCCATCCAAGGCTGTGTTTAGTTTACACCAAAATTAAAATTTTGGTTGAAATTGAAACGATGTGACGGAAAAGTTAGAAGTTTGTGTGTGTAGAAAAGTTTTGATGTAATGGAAAAGTTGAAAGTTTAAAGAAAAACTTTTGAACTAAATACGGCGCAACTTGCCAAGCCAAATAGGTAGCCAAAAGTTTCACTTGGCTGGCCATATCTAGCAAGTTGAAACCACATGCCTACCATGGGTCCCACCACCCCACCTTCTCTACCCATCTCCATCCCTCTCAAGCCGCTTCCTCCACCGCACGAGTGCACGCTGTCATTGGTCGTCGCGCCTCCACCTCCCCCACCGTCGTTGGGGAGTGGTGCACGCCCACAATCAATTAATTGGTCAGATTTATAGTTTTACAGCTTTGTAATTTATGAGCTCAAGAGCTAGTAATATATTTTTCTCAATTATTAGTTCGTCCTTGATATTATGTTGTCTAGAAAGTACGTATCGGGAAAGAAAAAGGTGGATGATTTAATAAAATGACTGAAAGGGCCCAATGGACAAATTCTTAAAGTAATATTAGAAAGTTTTTCTTGCAATTCAATTGCTTACTGGTAACAAGCATTTATATATATATATATATATATATATATATATAGAGAGAGAGAGAGAGAGAGAGAGAGATATTATTTAGATGTGATTTGTGGGCCCTATTTTTAGTTTCACTAGGCCACCCAAATCTCAAGACCGGGTGCGCCGGCGCGCGTGGGCGTGCCCCGGCGTTGGAGCATTACGACAAGCACCTCGCGGGCGACGCAGTAGGGACAGACGGTGCTCGTCACAGAGCTGAGGCGAGCGAGATGGGTGGATGAAATTGCAAATCACATACACAATTCACCGCCACCAAAGATCCAACCCCAAACGAACAGGACAATTTACCAGCGACTATTCATGCTCAAACGCTAAAACTAAGAACGAAATCTCCTACGAAATCAGGATCAAACCCAAGTGCGCGAGACGAAGAACAGGACCTACCGTCCCAGAAGAGCAAGCTGAAACATGCATGACATCCGCCTAACTACAACACCATGGATTTGCAAACGAGAACATGGACGCACCTTGTGAACTCGATGATGAGAGAGGAGGAGACGACCTTGACTCGACTCCGCCGGAGGCCCGAGCGGAGAGAGGAGACAGAAGTAGAACGAAGCTTTGCTTTCTCTCCTTTTTATGGCTTTTACGGGTCAAGTAGAACCAAGTCAACCATCGACTCTGGCGGCCAAGTCAATAGCTACTAGTGCCAAGTGGCCAGTGGAGCACGTACGTGCAGTAGGATTATTCCTCATGACCATGATGGCACTAGTAAATTAATCATTGATAAAAAAAAATGGATCATGTTGAACATGTAACTATTTAAAATTTTGAATAATGGTACGATTAATTAATTTGTTCTCTATGGTAGGAACTCTGCATATTCATTTATTCAAGAGAGGGATTATAGGCCCAAAAATAAAGTTACAACAATGAGGTAGTTTTTGGGACACTTGGTGAGAACAAATTGAGCGACAAGACCATAAAATCGACACCAGGCTATTGCAAAATGATTTACACTCTATGGCAGGCTTAGGGCCTGTTTAGGGAAGCTTAAAATTATGAAAAGCCTTCTCAGAATCTGGAAAAAGCTGGATTTTCCAGGTTCTGGCTTTTTGTTTATTTTCTAGATTCTACAACTACAACTTCTTAGAATCTAATCTAAAAGCTGGACTGTTTTTGAGCTTATGATTCTGGGTGAAGCTGCTGTAGCTAGAAACTTCCCTAAACAAGCCCTTGATTGGTTTGTGTATAGATATTTGTAAGATTGAATCACTTGAACTAAGTTTACCAGAGAGGGTAAATGGTATGATTACCAAAAACCAAAACTTTTAGCAGAATTAAAGATTACCCTGGTGTGTTTGCTCCAGTCTGACTGTGCCGGAACTTCCGAATCTGACCAGTGTAGATCCTCCGGTCCAACCGTCTAGCTTCTATCGCCGTTGTCTGATGCCGCCGGTTCAACCGCCTTAGCTCCGATGATCTGACCGCCAGGTAGCCACCATTCTGACCGTTGTGCTCTTGCCAGCTGTGTGGCCATCGAGCCCGAGAAAAACACAAATTAAAGAACTCTCTGAAAATATATCAAATTTATATTTTTAATTGTGGTATCAAAATGCAGCAACAACATTCTTCTCTCAACTTTTGACTAAACTCAAAATCTAAGCTAAACCCTAAGTTTTCTCTCAACACATCTCTTACAAAATCAATTCCGAGACAACTCAACTCCTCTTCTATTTATACCTAGAGGTGGCTGCCCAAAAGCCACAAATCCAACTCATGCAAATAGTCCTAATCCACTAGGGTATGTTTGAGAGGAGAGGATTGAAGAAAACTAGGAAGATACGTAAAACGAGATGAGCCATTAAAACATAATTAGTTGAGTATTAATTATTTTAAACTTGAAAATGGATTAATATATTTTTTAAAGCGACTTTTCTATAGAAGTTTTATAAAAAAACACACTGTTTAACCGTTTAGGAAGCGTGCATACAAAAAACAAGGTACTTCTCTTTCTTTGTGCTTGCAAAGAGCACAACCGGACTCCTAAATTCGACTCCTTATACCAGACGTATACAATCTCCTCTGGTATGTTGCATGGAATCTTCACCAATCACGCATATTGTTCTTTAACCTAAGGATCCCGCACACTACTGGAGAAGTGATCTTTGTCGGGTTAGCCAAAAACCACATTAGTCCCGGTTTGAATAGGAACCGGGACTAAAAATCATTTTTTGTCCCGGTTTAGAACTTCAATGATTTTTAGTTCCGGGACTAAAGATCATATATTTAATCCCAGTTGTTTATATCAACCGGGAGAAAAGATCAAAAAAACGCGCGCGCCAGAGCAATCTAGAAAAATTGAGGAGAGGATGCGCGCGGGGGAGGATACTCGCACGGTTATAGAGGGAAAAAAAATCTATCTCCTCCTTATCTTCTTCTCCTCTCCTCTCCTCTCCTCTTCTTATCTTCTTCTCCTCTCCTCTCCTCTCCCTTCCAGCCCTCTCCTCCCCCTCCTCCCCTCCTCCCTCTCTGCCCGAGCCCGGCTCGGCCGGCACCCTCCTCCCTCTCTGCCTCTCCAGATCTATGTGATGAGATGTGTTGATTAATTTTCCGATCTGTGCGATGTGTGGAGTGGATAATTTTGTTGTAAATTTTGTAGATGTTTTTGTGATTTTGTGAATGATTTGTGATTCTGTGTTGAATGTGTGATTCAATATGTGTTGAGAATGAACTATGTTTATGTTGTTGTGAATGATTTTGAGAATGAAACTATATGTTGTTGTGAAGATTTAGGATGAACTATGCTGTAAATGATTTGGGATGAATTTTTGTAATGATTTGAATATAATGGGGGGGGGGCGGGGGGCGAGATATGGAAAAAAGAAAAAAAAAATCTTTGTCCAACCGGGAATAAAGATCTATCTTTTGTCCTGGTTATTTCAACCGGGACTAAAGGTAGCCATCTTTAATCCCGAATTTGCCATCCCGGTTGCATAACCGGGACAATAAGAGCTTCCCAACCGGCGGCAAAGATCACTTGTGCAGCAATGGCATGATATCCTCATTGTTCGGACGTCATCTTCTCCCAACTTAATTCCCAATCCATCACCGGCAATACTCTCTTGAGATATCAAGACATATCTACACATTAGTAAACAAGAAACCATATCTGAGCATAGTTCTTCCACAACTACCTTGACTCAACATTAGCAAACCACACTATTACACAAGCATAGAAATCATCCAGAAGTTATAAACACGAGATAATCACAAGTATCCAAAGAAACAACCCGAAACCAACTCCAAGCATGAGCATACCAGTCAGACCATTTGACTGGTCGGTCTAACCGCACACTACACGCTGGTCTGACTGACCTACACCACCTAGTCTGACTAGTCCAACATAGTTAGCACCACTTCGTCGAATATCCGTGAAATATAAAAACCAGTAATCTCACATATCAATTGTTCATCACAAAATATATAATAATAAAAAACACTTTGATTTCACAAGAGTATCGCGGAGAATAAAAGATACAGGTGAAAGTGTTTGGGCCCCTGAAATTTGTCCAATGTTCTTTACACAGTACCTTTTTTCTCCTTGATAACAGATGTTTACGATCCGACTTTCTAAGCGCAAAGTTCACACACAAGAACAGCTGACAAACACATTACGAGCAGACGACTAATTTGAGTCATCGGAGTGGTAATGGCGCGGTGGCACGAGCTCAATCTCTTCAGCGCTGCTGGAGCCTTGAGACGGCGTACGTGCCCTCCCTAATCAGCCGGGGAGAATGTTGCTAGTCCATCAGCACCAAGCTCTGACCTCCCTAATCAGCCGCTGCTCGATCGTCAGTGCGCTCTGAACGACGAGTCAGAGACGGAATATATACCGAATTACTAGTAGAGAAAAGGTTTTACTCCCGGTTCGGAAACCCCCTATACTCCCGGTTTTGCAACCGGGAGGACGAATCCAGGACTAAAGATACCCATCTTTAGTCCCGGGTGAAATAACTGGGATTAAAAATCCATCTTTAGTCCTGATTGGTAATACCAACCGGGACTAAAGATAGATAGGGTCACGTCACGGCTGTTTTTTTCTGCTTATATCTATTCCTCCACCCCAAATCCACTCAATTTATTCACAAATCATCAATCATGCACAATAAAATTATCCACAAATCAACACAGCAAAATCATCAATAATACATACACATCCACAATCCACAAATTTTGTGAGACCATTCCCAAATCGACAAAATATACAAAACATTCATCATTCACTACAAAAATTCACAAAATAAAAAAAATCAAGTAGCAGTTGCCGTCGCCCGGCCGTGGGCCGCCGGCCGCCTTGCGCCCAGCCGTCGCGAAGGCCACTGAAGCCTGGCCGTCGCGCAGGCCACTGCCACCGGCCGCCTTGCGTCTAGCCACCTTGCGCCCCGCTGCTGCGCGGGCCACCGCCGCCGGCCGCCTTGCGCCCGGTCGCCGCGCGGGCCACCGCCGCCGGGCGCCTTGCGCCCAGTCCTCCGCACTTGCCTCCGCCGCCAGGGGCGGCCCTCCGTGCGCGACGGCTGCCGCCACTGCCTAGCTGCCTCCCGCCGCCGGAGGGGAGGGGAGGAGGGGGAGGGGAGGAGGGAGAGAGGGGGAGAGAAGGGGGATGAGAGGAGGAGGATGAGGAGGAGGAGATGGAGATGGGGAAGAAGTGTGATAAGAATGAGGGGTGAGGAGGAGAAGAGAGAAGAGTTAAGGGGCGGGGAGGACGAGGCGGGGCAGTTCGCTGTTTTTTTCCCGGTTGTTTAATAACCGGGACTAAAAATGATCTTTAGTCCCGGTTGGTGTTACCAACCGGGACTAAAGATCAAAAAGTGACGCACCAACCAGACTAAAGATCAAAAAGTGACGTCAGATCTTTCAACCGGGACTAAAGATCCCTATTTAAACCGGGATTATTGTGGATTTTGGGCAACCGACCAAATATGGTTTCTCCAGTAGTAACATGAAACTATGTTTCCCATTTACCCTTGCTATGATACAAGTGCCAACAAAGCAAAGCACTGAAGCAGTAAGCAATCAAGCAACTAAGTTAACACGAATTAGTACATCGCAGAAAGGAAATGTGCGTAAATTACAAACCAGCGTTTTCTACTCGGCTATAGTTGATAGACACACCACAAATCATCATTTGTTCTGATTTTATTTTTGTAGCAGGCCGACATGATAATATGAATACGAAAGTTACTCATTCTGTAAGGAAACTTGACACATCACACACGACATGGTTCACTGTAGTAAATATGGAAATTCAACAGACGGTGGTCGGGCGCCGATCTTACAGCTCCTGCGGAACAACAGCTTTACGATCGACATGCTGTAAAATGGAAATGAACGTCATGTTAAAATTCTACGAGAAGAATACAACCTTGCAAGTTGCAACCAGCGACGGTGCCAAGACAAAGGCCCTGTTTGGGGGAGTTTGTCCCAGCTGCAGCTTTTCCCAAAAGCTGTTTCTACTAGAAGCTGTTCCAAACAGGCCACAGCTTCTGAGAATCTGTAGTTACAGATTCTGAAATATGAACTAAGAAGCTAGAAGCTGGAGAAGCTGGGTTTCAGAGCTTTTCCAGATTCTCAGAAGCTGGCTATCAATCAGCTGCTTCTCAGAATCTAAAGCTCCCCCAAACAGGCCCAAATACTCTATCCGTTTTATATTATATATCGTTTTGATTTTTTTCTTAGTAAAACCTTTTTAGGTTTAACTAGAAATATAGGAAAATTTAGCAACATTTACAACACCAAATAAATTTCATTAAATTTAATATTGAGTATATTTTGATAACATATTTGTTTAGTGTTGAAAATATTGTTATATTTCTCTATAATTTGGTCAGATTTAAAAAGTTTAACTAAAGAAAAAGTCAAAGAGACTTGTAATATAAAATAAAGGTACAATACAAAAGGTGCAGGATAAAAAAACCCTGACATTTTTCATTTGCAAAGTAAATTGCGCTCTACATGTTCCTAGCATGTAGATAACAATTTACTCGATGTATGTAGAGCGCACTAATAATCAGGATAATAATACTCGATGATAAGAGTAATAATACTGACCTTGAAGAACATGGCGAGCATTTAGCAGCTCGATCAGTCAGAGACGGAGAGGACCTTAATTATCTATTTCCATCGATTCACCGGGCCCCGTGCTCTCAGGTGTTTTAGGCCTCTCGGTCGCAGTATACTTTACCGTACACCCAGTGTTGGGTGTGCCAACCCTTTTGAAGAACAAAACCTTGGGTCTTTTTGGGTGCTTCCGAGCTTCATTTTCCCAAGTAATTATGGTTTCCATACTGATAGCTGAATCAAGAGCAACTTCCTGGAGATTTGTGTGGTTTCTAATATTAATGCCAGCAAGATCACCAAGGCGCACACAAAGCAGGTGAAGTGAAACAAGTTCTGGCAAAGCTTCCTCTTCGATTTTAGGTAGGATAGGATTAGGACTCTCCACCACTAGACATAGGCGCTGCAGGACTGGGTAATCCCCTTTTTTAATGACGAAGCCCACAAGGTTGTATTCTACCAGTTTGAGATAAAGCAAGCAGGGTAGATCACCCAGGCCTGATCCTGATAAATCACTCCCAGTTAGATTAGTTGATGAAAGGCACAACTCTTTGATGCCTGTAAGCGACGTAACAAACTTGGGAAATTGGCTCAGTCTGCCGTGCAGTTTCAGAGTGGTAAGAAAACCATTTGTTTCACCTAGAAGACCAAGAAGATTCTCCAAGGCATTTCCGAGGTACAGTGACAGAGAACGAACGCCAACACCTGTGTCCATTTCGTACATAACCATATTTTCAATAGCCTCCTTGAGGTGGATAGTGTTACCTTCACCAGTGGAATAATCACACCATATCTTGACCTTTCTCAGTCCCCTCATATGAACCATCAGTTGCGGAATTATAGAGTCTTTGTCTATGATAAATCCTGATAGAGTCTGCAGCTTACTCTTTTGTCCGATACTTTTTTTGTTTGAGATGATATCATCTATTACCTGCACCGCATGAATACTCCTCTTTTTCCTGAGCTTGACCTTCCCAAACAGGTGAACTAGATGGGGCAGCTTTATGACTTCTATAGGCAGTGCCACTACATTTGTCTTTCTTAATTCGAGTGTATGTAAACACTGTAGGTTCTCAATCGCCTTTGGAAGTTTCGTAGTAGCGCTTCCGAGGCTCAGATATTTTAGACGACTGAGATTGTCCTTCATGATGCCCTTGACACGATTATCATCAAAATCATTGCATTCTTTTAGATCTAAGGCCTGCAACAGTTCACACTCGGCAATACAAGAAAAGTCTCACTCCGGTGCTTTCTACTTATAGTAGAAAAAAATCTGAACCGTTGATCTTATTTGATCGAAGGGTTCAGATCTATCTCTACTACCACCTCACTTAATGGTAGTAGAATTATGGAGGGGTACTTTTGTCTACATAAAATTATTTACGGAGGGGTATAATCGTCACTTTCACTTTATAACAATAGCTACCCTATCTTCTTTCGTTCTGGAACTGACGCCTGCATCTGGAGCCCATGCCGAGAGAACCTCCCTCGCGACTCCTCCCTTCCGCCGCCTCAGCCGACCTCGCCTGCTCCGCCACCCTCGCCCTCGTCTGCCGCCTCCCGACGCACTCGCCTCCGCCGCCTCCAACGTTTATCTAGCTCTCTGAGAGAAATGCACCAGCACATTTGCCCGCAGCTGCTCCATTGCTCGATGTCGTCAAAAATCTTGTCGACAATCTACTGAATTGAGCATTTTGCTTTGCATCTTTTCTGACACATACGAAGTTGGTTGCATATACCATTGAACAGACCAAGGGAGAGCTTGCTGAAGAAGCATGATAGCAGCAAAACCTGACAAACTATTCTTTGATCAACCCTAATTAACTTTCTGTCCAGAGTTTATGGTTGATAGCATATCACTGTCAATGCATTTTGCGACCATCGAACAAGTCTACAGTAAAACGGTTTTGCTACATAAGAGTACATAGGAGTGGGATTTCAATTAAATATATAAGAATGGCAACTTAGCAGCTTGGGATTTCACTTAAATATACTCCCTCAATTTCTAAATATTTAACGCCGTTGACTTTTTTAATATGTTTGACCGTTTGTCTTATTCAAAAAATTTAAGTAATGATTAATTCTTTTCCTATCATTTGATTCATTGTTAAATATACTTATATGTATACATATAGTTTTACATATTTCACAAAAGTTTTTCAATAAGACGAACGGTCAAACATGTATTAAAAAGTCAACGATGTCAAATATTTAGAAACGGAGGAAGTATAAGAGTGGCAGCTTGGGGGCAAAATATTTACTTTATGCAAGCGATCCAACAGTTCAACTAGCCCTGCAAGTTAAAAGCATGATTCTTCAGATAAGCCCATTCATCTCTGAAACGGAATGCCACAGATGCAGAAGAATTCAACACATTGTGACATACTAGGGTATTAAATCCACATCCATATTTGAAACGAGTTGCTTCATATCCAGAAGAATTCAGATACATGCAGGGATGCAGGGAGTAGGGTCAATTAACCAAACAGACAGAGACAAACAGAAGGATCAGTTACTGTTGAAAACTAAACCAAACAATTGATGATCAGTTGGTCTTCAGTACTAACATGGATTAGTCCATATATCTATGAAACGAACTACAGCATTTCAGATAAATTTCCAACTAACGTTTTCCCTTCTCTGTTCAGTTCACACCAGAATTCAGGCAAAACGCAACCCATACAAAATCATGAACAGAAAAACATCCCACAGCAGAAGCTCCTGCGCGCAGGCCGGTGGGGAAGCGGCTAGACGCCAGCAGAGAAGGGGAACGGAAGGAGAGGGGCGCCGGAGAGTTCCGCCGTTGGCGGAAGGGAACGGAATGCACAAGCGCCGCCGGCAGAAGGAGTCGAGGCGCCGGCGGAAGGAGTCACGCTCTCCACCTCCGCTCGATTGAGATAGATGAGGATTCCGAGCGACGCTAACCACGAGACCCACACGGAGAAATAAATTAAGTGTCAAATCTACCCCAAATCTGTCTTATACTAATCTACCCTAAAAAAATAAACGGTTCAGATTAGTTCTACTGGTAGTATAATACTACGAGTAGAAAGCACCGGAGCATCTCTCATACAAGAAACAGCTCCTCCTCCTCCACTCCCAAAGATTGTCAGAGAACGGGCACGAAGTTTCTTCTTGGCCAACCTGAGGATGTTGATATTTGTGCAATTCTGGATGAAGAGATGACGAAAGGTACTTGGGTCATCTGACTCTGACATTGTATCAAGAGACCCGATGAAGTGATCACAGAAGGATCTGTGCAGCATGAACTCGCGCATGACAGCATTAGTTCTGCATGTCTTCACTCTTGCATTGTCGCATGCACCCATCGGCTCGATGATATTCTGGTCAAGCAGTTTCTTGAAGTTTTGATGTGCCACCGTTTCGTCTGTGAATTTACCCACAGACTGTGCATATCCTTCAGCTACCCATCTCCTGGCTAGACTGTTTCTCCTGATCTCAAAACCCTTTGGGAATACACTCATGTATAGCAGGCATGTCTTGACAAGATGATCAGACAGATTGCCATAGTTACTCATAAGAACTTCCCGCAATTCTTGGAATGCAGGTGCCTTCTCAACCTGAGAACCTAATCGGTGGCAAATGTCGTCGCTGCTTTCCGTCAGACTGTTAACCCTTCTCAAAAAATTGGCCACACTAACAAGAGAAAGTGGATGGCCATCACATTTGCAAGTTCGTGGATCTAAGTAAGACCTCCTGACAAGTTTAAGGACCGCTGGTGTATTTTACTCTAATCAAAATCCTGAATTTGAATGACTCTAGTTTGTTACACATCTAGAGATCTTTAGCAAAATCAATACATTGGAACCTGTATTTTTCCAAGAAATAAAATGGAGACAACATGCAGCATTATTAATTAGTACACTACAATTGAGAATGCGATATGGTATAATGTTGGCGCACTGCATGTCTGCACCAAAGCCAACCACAGTACAGACCAAACTAGGCATGGAGCTCGATTAAAACAGCCGCGAAGCCCTGTTATCAGACGAGAACAAGGAGGTTCCAACGTTGATAACACCACAGGAAGATGCCGTTGATAAAAATGGGACATGATTCTTACATGAAATAAATCTGAAGGCAATTGAAACAACACATAAATTATGGGGGCCTCCTTTAGGAAAAAAAATCAAGCATGACATGTTACCAAAGAAAACAATACCGACCATACATATGCAAATCTGACAAATTACTGGAAAGAACTAAATGTGTGATGTACTTGCACGCAGACAGACTTTAAGAAAGAATACTAATGTAGAAAGAGCCAATCTGCAACATCTATATACGGACCTCTGCAACATGCAGCATCTTCTGGTGCATCCCGTCACCTTTCCATTGAGTCTTGAAGTCTTTGTGCAGGTCCTTCAACCAGAGCTTCTTCAGGGAGGCAAGGGATTCAATGCCTTGAGGGACTTTATCCAGCTTCCACAATGATACAATGTATAAACCTTCAATGCATGGAAGGGCGCCATCCGTGATGTTTATCTGGTTGACATCAGGCATGTGCATTAACACAAGAGTCTTCAGGTGGGGGAACGCCTCTGCATCAAGAACCAAAGTTTTCGAACTGTGCATGTTGTTCAGTCTTAGATAAGTGAGGTTTGACAAGTGTGATGCGAGCATCCCCAGTGGATCTTCCCCAAGATTACACCAACTTAGAGCTAAGTACTTGAGATGTGTAGTGTGGCTAAGAAATATCGGGTAGTCCAATGTGCCCTTGGCCCATTGCCCTCTGATAATTGACCTGTGGAGTTCTTTGGACATGGGCTGGAGAGCCTCAAAGCAAAGTGGTTCATTCTCATCTCTTGCAGAAAGAAGCAAGCTAGAAAGAAGCGGCATAGTTGATAATGTAGCAAAAATATTTCCACAATCAGCAGAACTTATGTTGTCAATCCAAACACTTCTTAGTTGCATCAGTTTCTTCAGTTGCACGGCCAAGTCCTTGCTAGCTTCCACGGTCTCAAGAGTCTGAAGTTCTTCCAAGTTAGACAGATCTTTTGGTGCTTGCACGCCTTTGAAGTACCGGAACTCTGAATGTTTCTCATCATCATATCTATCAGCTAGCAGGTGCCTTAGCTTCTTGATCTTAGTGATTCCACGTGGTAGCTTCTCTATTTTGGTTTGCTTGATGTCCAGAGTGTAGAGATTAGACAACTTTTCAATAGAGTCAGGGAGTGACTTGACCTTTGTGCGACGCAAGCCAATGTAACGCAGATTAAACATATTGCCTATAGATTTTGGCAATTGAGTGATTTCTGAATCTTGGAGCTCAAGAACAGTAAGGTAACTTGATTCTGACAAAATTGAGTCCAACATATAAGTGGGAAATGAAATTGCTCCAAGCGATACTAGTGTTCGAAGACGTGGAAGTTTAAATTTTGGTGCAGTGGCAGCAACACTATCATTCCATTCATAAGATGATAGACGACGAACATCCTTATTAATCTGTACCATTGTGCCGAAATCATTTGCAGAACCAAATTTCTCCTCTTTAGCAATAGAAAGGGCCAGGTCCCGCACAATATCATGCATTGTGCAGGTAGTCACCCTGCCTAGCTCATCATTCTCTTTAATTTGAAGCATATTCCGGTATATCAGTTCCATAAGATTCCCCTCTGCTACCACCTCTGGTGTGTTGTTCTCTTTGCTCAAGACAAATCCTTCTGCTATCCACAGTCGCACAAGGCTCTCACGGGAGATCGGGTAGTCCTCTGAGAATAAACTGCAATACAAAAAGCAGTTTCTGAGTTCTCCTGATAGGTCATGGTAGCTCATATTTAAAATTGCTCGAATATTGTTGTTTTTTGACAGCTCACTTCTAAGCTGTTTTGTATGTTTGATTCCAAACATAGTGCGTCCGTGGCCTTGAAGACAAGAGGCTTCCTATTGACACAATCGCCAGTGGCAGGCCCTGACATCGATCTACTATAGATGCAGCAACTTCCACAAGCTCGCTGGGACACTCATGGTCCTTGGTGCTATAAAATGCCCGTCTGCAGAATAGATCAAAGGCCTGATTGCCATCCAGTGGCTGGAGATCAAGGCGGCATGCTGAGGAAGCAAGAGCTGCAACATGATTCTTTCGTGTTGTGATGATTACACGACTCTGTTGGTTGCTCTGGAATGCATCGCATATTTTAAAG